TTTTTGGAGGCGATGGTGAAAATTCATCTCACTTACTTTGCGCTTGTTGTTAGAAGGGCCTAGTCCTTGGAAAAACACATCATGTTAGAGAGACAGAGGGTCAGCAAAAAGAGGGAGATCTCCAGTGAGATGGGTTAACATAGTAACTTTGATAACGGACTCAAGTATGTTAAGATAATCAAGTGGCACAGGACAGGGCGAGGTTCATAGGATTGCTTTGGATCATAGTCAACTTGACAGTACTTAACAATAACAAAGTATGTGATAAAAGTAAAACATGATGAATGAATTTCTATCTGCTACCTTTAGGTACAAATATTCCCAAATTCAAAAGGATAATGTCATTTACTCTAACTCAGTTTTCTGACTGAGACCATTCTCTGGCATTAAATCTCCAGAGAGTAGTAAGCTCTTTAGTGGAAAACTTGTGGCAGGAGATCTAAGCTAAGCTAGATACACTAGATACATGCAGTAAATAATGTTGTCCTAACATTACTAAGAAAATATTAGTCTTTTCCACCACTGTGTTGTTATGTACACGGAGGTAAATCACCTGGGATTTAGTCAGAATTAAGGCTATTCCATCAAAGGGCAATAGCAACTGCTTACTTCACCATCTCCTACTAGTAGCAAAAAAAAAAAAAAGAAGGGAAAAAGCAAGCTTCTTTTAAAGATATCATGATTGTAACATTAAAAATTATGAACTTTACTGAATCACTATCCTCGAGTCATGGAGTTGGAACGGAATCAAAACTAACCCTTCTTTGGATTTCCAAGGCTGTAAATTGTACAAGAGGAGGTTGTCCATCTTACTCACAGGAACTTGGTGGTGGACATGAACCACCAGAGAGCTATGATCTTTGGGTTAGCAGAACACTTCCTTATGATGTAGGCCATCAGAGCTCCACAATGTAACAAAGTGAGAAATACATATAAAGCTCCTCTACATTCCAAAGAAGTGTGCTGCAACCTGAAGGCAGGCAGTTCGAATCCACCAGGGGCTCTGCAGGAGAAGGATGGACAGGCTCCTCTGTTTTTTTTTCTTGTTTTTTTTTTTTTTCTTTTCTCCTCTGTTACAATTAACTGCCTCTGAAAACCTGCTGGAGGGTTAGCTATGGGTTGGTTCTGACTCGATGGTACACAACAACATTCCAAAGAAGGAGTTCTGAGTTGTGTCCCTAAACAAAGCCAAGCCTCTCTCATGGTTTGAATCTATCATTCACTCCATGGGAGAATGATGGACAGTCTCCTGCCCATTCAATGTACAGTCTCAGAAGCCCGGTAGTGTCAGTTATATATTGGTTCTGACTTGATGTAAGCAAATTTCAGTTTTGATATTTCAAAATATAATGCTTGCCTCAAGGAAAAGAATTTGTGTGAGCTGAACCATGCTCTTTTTTCCCTTTTTGAGTTAGAAATAATTCTTACTGGAAAGGAGTGACAGAGAAACTTAGAGACTTAACACTGTCTTGAAAATGAGCTAGTAAGCTTGTATCAAGAAAATAAAATGGCAGTTCTGTTTACAATGATAAAATGGAATCTTTCAAGAGATCGTAGTTAGGTGGCTTCCAGTGGGCTTCAATTCATAGTAACCCTATGTACAACAGAGCAAATGATTTCCCCATTCTGCATCATCTTTATCAGCTTAAACCCATTGTTCTGGTCACTTTGTCAATACATTATTTTTCACGGTCTTTCCCTTTTTACTACTCTTCCACTTCCAGAGACTGGTCTCTCCTGATATTATGCCCTAAACATATGAGAAAAAGTATAACTATCCTTTCTTTTAAAGGGCATTATGGTTGCACTTCCTCCAAGATAAACTTGTCTGTACTTTTAGCAATTCATAGTATATCATAGTATATTCAATATTCTCTGCAAGAACCACAATTCAAAGGCATCAATTTTTTCAGTCATCCTTATTAAACTTCTACATGCATATAAAGTATTGAAAATACTATGGCTTGGGTCAGGCACATCTTAGTTTTTAAAATGACACTTATATTCCTTAGCATTCTAGAGAGGTTCTTGCAGCAGGTTAGTCTACTGCAACATGTCATTTAATTTCTTAATTGCTTCTTCCGTGGGTATCAGTTGTGGATCCACGTAAGAAGAAATCCTAGAAATTTTCAAATTTTATCCATTTATCATGATGTTTATGAGTTCAGTTATGAATATTTTAGTTTTATAGTGAGGAAATACTCTAATCATGACAAGTTTGACAGCATCCCAAAACTCAGCAAATGTTTCTGTTGGGATTAATGGTAATAGTAAAAAAAAGGGGGACTTTTTTTTTTTAAGTGGGAAAGAAAGTTTATTGAAAGGAAGAAGGAAAGAAAAGTTTTTTAAGAACAGGTTGGGGTGTGGTTGGCTGTGAGTCAGAATTGATCCAAAGCTGAGTCTCCAGCTGATTTTCAGGGGCAATAAATCACATGGGAGGAGATTGTTACTGAATGCAAAGGGTTCTTTCTGTAGTCAATAGCCAGTAAGACAGACAGATTGCAATATCCATAAGCAAAAAAGTGGCTTTTGTATTATTATTGGTTTTCATTCAATCATTCATATGTGTTGATTATAATTAATGTAACTTTTAAAATAAATTGAAAACTTTTTATTTAACTTAATATCTGTTTAATTTTTTTTTTTAGTTATGTAAAACGGTCCAGTTAATCAACTCACTAGATTGGTCAAGGCAAGACACTTGAACTATACATATAGGATGTAAAAAGCAGTTGGTCTTTTAGTAGTTCACTGGTACTCATACAAGCATATGTATACATATACTGGTAAGGTACTCTGGATATAGGATTTTCCTTCATAATCATGTATAATGCATTGTTCACATCTGCAACATTCTGAAATCTATACAGCTTGGATATGGTCACATTAGAGATGTCAGATAAGTTCTTAGAAAATATTTGGGCAAGATAGCTTCATCTCCCCAAAAATCAATTTTTAACTTTTTTTAAGGCCATGCAATATTACAACAGATTTAACAGACATCTTTGGGGAGGTGGGAAAAAAATTCAAGCCATAACCCAATTGCCTGCTTTTTCTAATATGCATTTTCCCCCCTCTTCTTATTGTGTACCATTGAGTCAGATCCAACTGGCATTCGAGCAGAGCATCTGGTGGATTGGGATAGCAGCACAGCTTCTTGCAACTAAGCCAGTAGAGCTAAAAAAAAAATTACAAATAATGTTTGCATTTTAAACCATTAAGTGGCAGAGTTAAAAAGAACAGAAACTTATACAATATTATTGGACTCCATGAATGTGCACAATTCCAAAATGTGCCAGCACTGAAAAACTGTCTTGCATTGAGATTTTCCAAGAGGTACAATGAGCCTGCTAAGAAAGCATCTGGTCTGTACTAGTAGCTTGCTGTCTTCAGAAGAGGCCTTCATAAGGTCAGTCATGCTGCTCTTGTAAAAAATCCTTAATGTTAAAGATGTTGAGTGAGGCTATGATGGATGATGTCGAATGAATCCATATATGCACATTGAGTTTCATTTCATTGTCAAGAATTTGAGCAAGCTTTTTTTTTTTTTTGCATGGATGGAAGGTGACCAGATTGCAGCTAGACCATGCAGGTACATCATTAAAAGTTATCGCAAATGCTCCTGTGGACATACACTGGTTCTCAATCATGTTGCTCAAGAAGAAAACCATCACACATGCATAGGCCTTATTTTTTTGACCCTACAGCCAGATGCTAGGAGCTTGCATGCCAAGGAAAGCAAAAGGATCGTTGCCAACAATTATTAAGCCTATTAATACTAATTTAAAGACTGACAAGAAAGATGCTGTGTCTATTAGTTAAGGAAGGTAACTTTCTCCTTCATTGTGAATGTCTGGTTATCGCTGGCTAATAACCTGCATATACTCTTCAAACACCAGCCTATAACCTCAGGAAACACAAATCTGGGATTTCAGCAGCTGTTCCCATGATGTACTGCATCTTTAATCTCTTGTTGGGCACACCTACCTCCTGTGGACAACGCCCTCAGGAAAACAGCAGACGCCTCCTCTTAAAAGAGCCAGGCACCCCAGCAGCTCTCACACTGTCACCACAGTCAGTTTTCAGCCTATGGGCGTTGCCAGGTGCTCCGCACGTGATTAATGCCATTTTTATTTGTCATCAGAGCCTCACTGTACCTGCCTTTCCCCTTCACTCTATTTTATCCTTTAATTTATGTTCCCCCTCTCTCCCTTCTTATCTCTACCAACTTTTCAAGATTGTTTCTGTGTTTAAATCTTTCCTTAGTTTTTCTCCCCTACAACCAGTTATGTATATTCCATTCCACATTGTTAATTGCAATACAATGTCTAATTATGCATTTTGTATTGACTTTCCTTTCACCTATTCTGATAAAGTTTCCTTTATCCATCGATTTCCTGTCCCCCACTCCCAACCTGATCCATCCTCACATTTCCTGACACACTAAGATCCACTGCAGCAGTCACTGTGTCAATCCACCTGGCAGAGGGTCTCCTTCACCGATCCTCTGCCTTCCCGAGCATCATGTCCTTCTCCAAGGATTAGCCCTTCCTAACAACATGCCCAAAGTATGTGAGGCGAAGCCTTATCATCTTTGCCTCAGAAGAATGCTATGGCTGCACTTTGTCCAAGACACATTTCTTTGTCCATGGACTCTCTCTTGGCCATCCATGGATGTTCAGTACTTTTCACTGATACCACCACACCTCAAAGGCATTAATTCTTCATTGCCCAGTAAAGATTTCATATAATTAAGTGTTCTGAATCCTTGCCTCTAGATAGAAACTACCAAGAACTTCTGTCTTAAGCAGTCTCTGGCACAAGGCTCAAGGAGACAGTGCTGCAAAGAAAGTTCAGGGCAGAAGAAGAAAGTTCAACAGGGCAAAGTCCTTGATTTTGCTAGCTGGCCTTGATGCCACATCATGAGTAAGGAGACCTAGAGATAGGGGTTCTTAAGTTTTCACTTCTTTCTCTCTCTCACTATTTGTAACTGCTTCTTCATGGGCCCCAGGGCCGTGCTGCTACTGTTATTGTGTGTGGTGACACTGAATTCGACCCAGGAAGATGAGGAACTGGCCACTGCGGAGGGAGGAGCACGACAATGGCCTGGTGTGTGTACGCCTGTGCAGTCTCTCTCTCTCTCTCTCTGTTTCAGGTTTCCCTCTCTCTTTCTCTCTCCCCTCTTCCCCGTCTCCTTTCTCTCCCCCTTCTTTCTTCTCTCTCTCCTCTCTTTCCTCTGTGTATGTGTTTCAGGACTCTCCAAGTCGCACCTGCCTGCCTCACCTTCCAGACCTCCTCGCCACATCCCTGTGCCGAGCCTTCGCCTGCACCCTCCCCTGTGCACCACCTTGTCCGGACCCTGCCCTTTCCCCCAGTGGGCTCAGTCCTTCCCCCCTCCCCAGGTTCCCACTCTCTGAAGTATTTCCATACTTCTGTGTTCCGGCCGGGCAGAGACCCCTGGTACATCGAAATTGGTTATGTGGACGGCACAGAATTCGTGAGGTTCGAGAGCAAGAAGGCGAGGTCCGAGCCGCTGGTGCCGTGGATAAAGCAGATGGGAGCACAGTACTGGGACTGGCAGACAGAGGTCAACCAGAAGATCGCACAGATTTTCCGAGAGAACCTACGGACCCTGCACACCTACTACAACCAGAGTGAGGCTGGTGAGTGACTCTGGCCAAGCCTCAGATCAAAGTAGAGCTGAGACTAGGGTACAGCTACTGGGGAATCGCTCGGGAATTCAGTTTCAATTTAATGGCTTTGATGATCTTGGGTTGCGGGGCAGGGGCAAGGCGGACCTCGGGAGGCCATACCTGACCCGCGGCGTGTTGGGGACAGGGTCTCACACCTACCAGGGCATGTGTGGCTGCGATCTGGGGCCGGACGGGAGCATACGTGGGTACATACAGCAAGCCTACGATGGCGTTGATTTCTTCTTCCTGAATGAGAAAATGAGCTGGACGTACAGGGACGCCACTGCTTGGAACATTCAGAGAAAGTGGAACAAGACCTTTGAGAATGATAACAGGAAAGCCTGCAACATAAAGCGCCTATGCACGTATTGGCTCCCCAGGTACTTGGAAGATGGGAAGGAGACTCTGCGGCACACAGGTATTTAATGTGTGGTTGACATGTGAAAAGAAGTTCTGAATGTGCTTCCGGGAACCACTTCTCCCTTTCAGCATGAGACAGTGTCTGCTCTGTTTATTCCTCAAATGAGGAAAGGAAAAAGGCACACACGCCTTCCATTGGGGTGGTGAGTGAGGAGTTAGCCCAGATGTCCAAATCTTGTATGGAGAAAGACTTGCCCTGAGGAGCCCTTCTTTCTCTTAGAGACAGTTATGGGATCCACTCATTTTCTCTGGGGGTAGTAGAAGAGAAGATTCCTGACTGATCAGTTCCCTTTGATCCTGGATTTGATCTTGGGAATCACCAAGGACTTTCTCTCTCAAACCTCTACTCAACACTCAGTGAGTTTCAAGTTTTCATTACAACTTTTCTGAGTTTTTCCACTTCCACTCAAGTTAAAACTAAAGATACTCTGGTTTTCCACACAGACAACAGGAGCCTTCTACTCTGGGCTGCCTTACTCTACTTCTAGAACTTTTCAAGGAATGATCCCAAATCCCTAGTCTAGGCTGCTATCTATATTTGGACTCCCTTCTCCACTCCAATGGTTCTTTCTCAGAGTGATCACATGATCCCTGCTGTAGTGGTCCATGGGAGAGAATGGAAAGTTTTTGAATTTTTGGACTTATTCTTACAGAACCCCCAAAGACACATGTGACTCACTACCACATTTCTAAACATGAGGTCACAATGAAGTGCTGGGCCCTGGGCTTCTACCCAGCACAGATCTCTCTGATCTGGCAGAGAGATGGGGAGGACCAGACTCAGGATATGGAGTTGGTGGAGACCAGACCTGCAGGGGATGGGACCTTCCAGAAGTGGGCAGCTGTGGTAGTCCCTACTGGAGAGGAGCAGAGATACACATGCCATGTGCAGCATGAGGGGTTGCCTGAGCCCCTCACCCTGAGATTGGGTAAGGAGGGGTATGAGAGCAAAGTCTTTTCCCAGGGAAAGTGGGAGCCTCTTTGGAGACCTGAAAGAACTTAGGACTCTTCACCTACTTCTCTTTCCAGAATTGTCCAACACCTCCTATATGGGTATTATAATTGGCCTGGTTCTTCTTGGAGCTGTGGTTCTTGGAGTTGTAATCTGGAAGAAGAAGAGCTCAGGTAGAGATGGGGATGGGATCAGAATCTTCTTGTTCCACTGAAGGTTTTCAAGTCCCAGGTAGGAGATTTGCCATTTCCTGCCTCATTACAAGAGGGACCATCCACACATATGCTGTGGAAATGAAGAGCAAATTTTTCAACTTAATTGTTCTGATGATGGAGAACTGATTTTCAATAGTTGCAGATCATAGAGAAGGTTTCTGCTGAGGACAGACTTCTAGGATAGTGATTGTTCTAGTCCTTGCATGTCTTCCTCATATTTTCACAGCCTTCAATGCATTTGTAGTCACAATTCTGCAAAATTTCCTGGCCTCCAGGACTGGATGATTTTTCTAGGAACTCATTGATTTCCTTCTTCCCCAGTCTCTCACAGAATACTTTCTTCCCACAGGTGGAAGAGGAGAGTGTTATTTTCAAATGCCAGTAAATACAGAGGGAGGGAGAGAAGCTTACCCTGAGACCATTGGGAGAGTGTAGACCATGGAAACCTCTGAAAACCCATTGCCTTAGTCTTATTTCCTGTGGACTCTGACCAGATCCTATTTCTGTTCTTCTCCAGGTGACAATGTCCGGGACTTTGGTCTATAAATCCTAGTTTATATAGGTAAGAAACTGGGGCACCTGATATGGGGTAGGGATTGAGGCAGAAGGAACATGACTTATAGGATTCTCTGTTTGGATTTGGACATTTGCGATTATGGTGGGTTCTTCAAAGTGTCAACATTTATAGCTTCAGAGATAAACTTGTGCCGAGTTATTTTTTTTTCTTTTGTAGCATGAGACCTTTGCCTTCTATGAGATTGAGTCATGCAAGATTTATTTACATCTCCCTTTATGATTTGAGGACTCCTGACTGCTGATTTATCTTTCTGCAATTGGTGTCTAAGTTTTTGTTAGCATAAATTGATGCCTTTGAGTTGTGGTGCTGGAGAAGAGTATTGAATATTCCATGGACTCATAGGAAAATGAACAGGTTGATCCTGAAGATAGTTAATCCAGGATGCTCTTTAGAGACAAGGATTCTGAAGCTCTGCCTGACAAACTTTGGGCATGTTCATCCTAGATGTAAGGGGCGAAGAATATAAGGGACTGCATCCTTGGGATGTGGCTATGTGCCTTGCATACATAACGTGTCTTCAGAAGGAAGATTGCAAGCAGCTCTCATGAGGCGCTCTGAGAAGGAAGATTATAAGCAGTTCTCATACATCTTTTTTTAAAAATTATTATTAATTTCAGTAAAAATTTACAGAGACTTTGGATTTCCATTCATTATTGTTGCACTTTTCTCCCCTCCCAAACCTCCCCCCTACTACACTACCCTCTTGGAAAACAAAAATTCTTTCATTGTTTTACAAACCCTCCCCCAGGTCCACTCCATCATGTAGCCTTCACTCTAGACCCCTGTCATGACAAAAATATCTAATCACATATCCCTTTTAAACAGTTTTCTCCCTCATCTGTTTCAATGCAGTATACATTATTGAATTAATCTTTCTCAGTCTCTCCTCAACCCCGATGTCAGTCCTGTTTTACAACAGTGGCACCATGCAGTATTTGTCCTTTTGTGAGATACTTCACTCAGAATAATGTCCTCCAGGGTCACCTATTTTGAATAATATTGCATGAGTTCCTTGTTTTTCAATGCACCGTAGTATTCCATTGTGTGAATATACTACAGCTTCTCTACCCATTCATTTGTTGATGGACACTTAGGTTGTTTCCAACTCCTTGCTATTGTGAACAAAGCCACAATAAACATGGGTGTGCACCCATACATCTTTAGACACTGACTTTTGTGAGAGTAGAAACAAATGTTCCTGCTCTTGATAAGGTTGTTGCAAAATGAGAGAAAGCACAGTTTATGAATACAAAAAAATCTTGCTTGAAAGTATGTTTTTTTTTTTTTTTTTATCTAACTGTAACGGGTCTGGGACCTATGGTAATCCTTAGTGTTTCTATTTCTCTGTGAACTATTCCTTTTGTTTCTGAATGGTAATAAAAGCAAAGGTTTTGGGGCTTCTAGAGTGCTATTAGCCTGAACAAGCTTCTAGCCATTTCTAGCCATTTCTGGATCCACATTCTGCTTTGCTAGTCTTCCTTTGACCTCCACCCATGAGAAACAACACTGGAATTAATTAATCTGGGATGTGCCTTGGATACAAGGATTCTAAAGCTCTGCCTGACATACTTTGGGCATGTTGCAAGGAAAGACCAGTCCTTGGAGAGGACCATCATGCTTGGAAGAGCAGAGAGACAGTGCCAGGAAGGAGGATTCTTTATGAGATGGATTGACTCAGTCAGTGACTGGGGTAATGAGGGGTATGTGTGACAGAGGTGATAAGGTTGGCTCAAGATAGAGCAGGGTTCAGAGCTATTGTACATAGAACCACTATGAGTTACAGGCACATAACAACAACAACAACAATGTGAAGATGGGATTAATCTACTCTGATGCAGTAGGACCCTCTACCAACACTGAGCTGTGTTAACTGGTTCAACAGAGGTGGAACTGGTATGTCTTCATCCTTGACATACCTTTATTTTGCTTTGAGACACAATTTTCTCCTTCTCTATAGAAAATAAAAATAATTTGATTAATAAAATGTTGTTATGAAAGTAGGGCTAATGTTGTTGTTGTTGTTAAGTGCTGTCGAGTCGCAGGCGACTCATAGACCCTATGAAGGAGAGTCCTTGACGCTTGGGTGCCTTTCATCCTCTCTCCAAGTTCATAGGGTTTCCGGAAGCAAGCTATTATGGAAGTGGACGCCACTCCTCCTTCCACGCTTGTTCAATCGGGGAGCTCCACCCCACTCTCAGTCCGCATTGAGTAGCCAACCACTAACGCATTTGACACATTCGTGTCACAGTGTTCAGCCTCACAGCAACCACAAGTGACTTCGGGACGGCAACCTGTACACCTTAGAACCTTAGAGAGATGGGGACAAGTGTGGGATCTGGAATTTTTGTAAAAAAGATCACAGGAGATTCATGAAATGTAAATTGTGAGACGAGGCTTTGCTCACATGGTTTTACATCTATAAGAACAGGAGTATGCAATGAGGGTTGTAGAGTGGATTATATTTGGGGCTGGGGGTGGGGTTTGGGGAGGTGCGGGGTGGGAATTGTGTACCAATGAGGGAGTTTTTCTTTTGCGTTTCAAGGAGAGGAGCAAATGGGG